TGTCATGCCACTTGGCAACTTCAGCCTATCAGCGTCATTTGTCATTCTCCTGCGTTTCAATACCATCGCAGTCTGCTTTGCTATTTCATACCCCACCACCCACCAAACTAGTTACAGTCTCGTCTACACTATAATGTTGCAATTTGTCTCTCCCAGGTTTCAGTGCATTTTACTTATTTTTGCTCTGTACTGCTATGTTGTTTTTCCTCTTCCTTTCTTTTAACATTTTCCCCCTCCCAAACCCCAACATCTATAGATAGACCTCCTTTTGAGGACATTGCTTCCAGCCTTGATTAGACACAACCTGCTTGTATATGTTCCACTGCGCAGAAATCTAAAGCTCTTTCCCCCTGCATTAAACAAAGTAGTTGATTATGTTTGTGTTTGTTTGAAATGGGTACAAAAACAATAGCAGTATGTTAAGGATTAATCTATTAGGGTGGAATGAAATATTAAACTTGTAGTTTTAAAATTAGTTGGAAATGAGCAGTATAGAAATTTAGATCAAGAAGCTGAAGCTATGTGGGGTAATAATGCCATAAGAAATGGTTAGCAAGCATGTAATTTTCTTTTGGTAATTAGCCAGAACCTTTATTTAAAACCTGAATACCTTCCTTGCCAGAAACAAGAAAGTACTGGGGCTGCTTTGAGGCTAGCATTGGGGCCTCATTTAGTCAGGAGTTAGATCTTGCCAGATAGAAATGTCAAAGTGAAATTGATCTTGCATGAACTGAAAGGTGTGCCTGGAACTTGCAAAATCCGAGAAGCAGTTGTCAAATGTGCTGAGCAGATTCTTGAACCACTCCTTCTCAAGCTGCTGATCAGAATTAGCACCTAGTTTTGACTGAAATGTTTGTATGTTCAGTATCCAGTTACAAATTGACATTGCTTTTCCCTGATGTTGAGCGTTTGGTATATTCAAATACTTGATTATGTCACCCAGAATGCACAACACATTGCCACACTTCAAAAAGTCACTAACGGCACCTTGGCGATAAAGGTCTTGGTCTAGACTGAGCTGGACTTGTTGCAAGACTTTTCCACATCAACTTTCATACATTTGTAAAGTAGGTCTCTTTCAGTGAAATCTGACTCCACTTCTTCCAACATTTTCACAAATTGTTGATTATTTAGAGCACTAGCCTGAATAAAGTCAACTATTTTGACAACTGAGATAGCAAGGTGTAGAGCCTTCTTCTAAGGGTCCAGACCCGAAACGTCAGCTTTCCTGCTCCTCTGATGCTGCTTGGCCTGCTGTGTTCATCCAGCTCTACACCTTGTTATCTCAGATTCTCCAGAATCGGCAGTTCCCACTATCTCTGAATCTATTTTGACAACTGCTTGTTAAATATTGCAGGACGTCTTCCCAGCTATTAGATCACAGAAATAATTTTGGTGTACACTTCAGAGAATGAAGCCAACCATCACCATGAAAGATGTTTACAGTCAAATGCTGCTTGAGCGGATTTGTTGCCAATCATTAGCGATGCACCATTCCTTCTGATTTGAAGCTAAATTTGCACCTCCATTTTCTATGTGGCTGATTCACTGTGACATGGTGAATGTAGGAAGAATGTGGGAAGAGAGAGCTGGAAAAAGTGCAGTGTCCAACCTGGCCAACCAAGTCTGAACAAAAAGTAATGGGAGCCCAAGCCAAATCACTGCATATCTCTCTTTGTAGTTGGTACCTCTTATCCAAGTGTTTCCAGTGTGCTTCAGTTTTGTTTCCAGTTGTTTAAAAGGAAAGACTTGTTTACAAATTTGAGCTGGTGTCTGAGAAAAAGTTGCCTTGATTGTTCATTACAGGCTCTAATATTTTCAGGCCAGATCTTTTTAAATGCTCTGATCTGCATCTAGAGGCCAATGTGGTGACCATCTCCTTAATTATGTTCACTCAGAAAGATAGAATTTTATACTGGGCAGTAACTGAATGAGGCAGAGGCATGTCCCTACTTAGGATGGGTTGCAGTATCCACAAAGTTCCCTGAGAAAGCAGGACAAGTAGTAAAGCCTCCAAACATGAGCTGGTTGCTTGACACATGTAGTGCTGTCAATGAATTGTGCATCTCCAATATTTGCCTTTTATTGTCTCTGTGAGGCAAATTGGCACATAATGTGCGCAAATGTAGAAAATACAGCGAAGTATTGCTCCTTTCAAAGTAGTTGATTGTGTGAAGAAGGAACCAAAAGCCACAGTGCCTTGATTGTGCCACACTCTGCTATTGGTGGCATGAGCTCAGCACAGTGAGCCCTTTCCTGGTCTCCTAAGGCTGCATCTAAGGATGGACAGCTGTATCATTCTAATCCTTTGCCACCTTCTTACAGTGCTGTAGGAGTTTGGAACATCAATGGGAGGGAGTGACAGGAGAATAACCATGAGGAGTTGGAGTAGCCTAGGGAAGAAGGCTTTACCGTGCCCATGCTGCACTGCACAGGTGCAGGAGACCAGATGCTGCCCTGCTCAGTTGAGAGTGCAGCCTCCTCATTTACTCTGTGCCACACCCACGTAACAGAAATTGCACCAGTCTCAGTAGCCAAGGGGCCAAGGAGTTTTAGGAGAGACGTTGGAATGACATTGCAGCAGAAGAGTCAGCAATGGCCAAGAACTGAAGAGGACTTCAAGAATCTTCAGCTGAGAAGAAGGAAGAATGAGATTGTCACAAGACATAACTGACTCTGATCACCTGTTCTTTGTACTTTTTGACAGTTTTGTTCTGTGGCGATTTCCAGGAATGATAGTACAAGAAAGGTGCCTTTTATCAGAAGGCTGTTCAGGACTTTTGGAATCTGGCTGAAACCTCAACAGTTATGCTAAAGATGATAGCTCTTCCCCTGAGGTCTGTAACATTCTTGGACTAGGGTGCTTTGTAAAGGCAACCTCTTCCTCCTGTTCCTTCTCACGGAGATTCTTTGTTGAGCTCTACCACAGCAAAATAGGGTTTTACTCTTATCTGTAGTCAAGATCTCTGGTCTTGACCCTTCATTTCACAGCAAGGCAACATAACAAGGACTGTGAAGCTGAAATAACACCAAGAACTACAGATACCAGAAATTTGCAACAAAAGCAAAATGCTGGAGAAACTCAGTAGGTCTGGCAACATCCGTGGAGAGAAGAAAACAGCATTAACGTTTCAAGTCCAGTGTTTTTTTTAATGAAGGGTTGCCTCTCCAAGAAGAGATGAATTCTCTTCTTCAGAATATTGTTCCAATAGTTTTCCTACTACTAACATTAGACTCACCTGTCTGCAATTCCCTGGTTTATTCCTACCACCCTTCTGGAACCATTTTAGCTTTCCTCCAGTCCTTTGGCACCTCCCCTGTGGCCGGAGAGGAAATAAAAATTTGGGTCAGAGTATCTGTAGTTTCTTCCCTTGCTTCCCACACTGAACTGGGATACCACTCATTCAGATCTGGGGATTCGTCCATTTTTAAGTTTACTAAAAGCTCAATACCTCCTGACTTCCTATATCAACCTGCTGAAAGACCTCTGACTCTCTGTCCCTGATTTCTCTACAATACAGCCGCCTTCTCCCAAGTAAAGATAAAGATGAAGGACTTGTCTGATGCGTTGCCAATATTCTCCGGCTCCACGCACAGATTTCCACTTTGTTCCCTAATTGGCCCTGCCCTTTCCCTGGTTATCATCCTCCTCATAGAATATCTTAGGATTGTCCATAATGGTGCCTGTCAATGTTTCTACATGCCCTTTCTTTGCAGTCTGAATTGCTTTCTTAACTAACCCCCTGCACTTTCAACACTCCACCACCAAGGCCTCTGATTTGCTCCCTTTGCACTTGCTAAAAGTCTCTTTTCCTTCTTATCTGGTTCTGCAATTTCCTGGACATCAATGGATTTTCTAGGCTTGTTGTTCCTCCATTTCAGCCTAAAGGAAGCACATTGGATCTTGACTCTTTCCATTTCCTTTTTGAGTGCCCCCTACTGTTCTACTATAGATTTTCCCACAAGTAGCTGAGCCTTCATCAGAAGGCATCCTGATGGGGTCTGGATCAGATAAACAAAGGATTTTTCTCAAACAAGATGTAAACTACAGGCTTAACTCCATATAAATAATGATTGTAATGACCTGATGCCAGTGGTATAAAAAATCTCTGCTTCACGATCTTTGATCTGTACATGTGTTCAAATATCATGTTATACTTCAGTTTAGAAATTGCCACCCAAGGCTTCCTGAACATGATCAGTTATTGAATCAGATTTTCTTGGGAAGTTACTATTATAAATGATGGTTGAACAAAAGCAATACTGGCAAATTTAAAGTTAGGTCAAACTGCTATTAATTTATACAAAGTAAAATAGGTTTGAGGGATTGGTTTGTGATGTGACATTTTAGATTGATATAGATTTTAAAAAATGTACATTCTGTGGCTTCTTGTCAAGCAGTAACAATTGGGTAATATGTTCAGGTCAGCTGAATTCTCATAGTGTCCAAGTTCATAAAACATTGTTTCACTACACTGCAGAATGCAATATAAAATCCCAGTTAATTTTGTATTATTTCAAAGTGATTTATATTTTTAGGAAAGACTAGTTTTTGTTTTAAGTGTTCGCTGATGTCTGTTATGCTGTGTTAGGCACTGCCCCATCGCAATTAATCGGTCATTTAAAAGTGACACTTAACCAAAATAATGTTGCCCAGGGCTTGGTGCCGTGGTCTGCTCTGACAAGCCCTCCATGAAGGGGACGCTCCTCATCTGGACCACCCTGTCAACTAGGACCTCCAGGTCCCTGTCAAAGAATTCTGGCACCTTCTACCCCTTCTTTGACATCAGCTGACTGACTGCCCATCACCGAGCAGGGCAGTTTTAAAATACCAGTGCTGGCCTGGGTACAGTGTCCCTGAAATACAGCTGCTGCCAGGGATGCTGATCTCTCAATGAACATTTGATGAGTGGTGAGCTGTTCTGGGAGTTGCATGTGATAATTTGGGGCTAGATTTTGGCAAGAGCACACATAGGAGCAGGTTAGTTAATTACCGAGGCATGTTTGATAAGATATTGTGTCCGACCTCCCAGCAACAAACCTTCCAGAACAACTTGACCAAAGTAATACTTGGCCAAAAAAAATTTGGATTCAACCTTCTCATTCTATAATCTACTCTAATTTCTTCCTAAAAATTAAGTGTTCTTTTAAATGCATGTCTGAAATGTTTTACTTGAAACTGTGTTGCATTTAGTGTTAATAGATAACAATTTATTTCAACAGTATAGATTATATTGATCTCTCTGCAAATCATATTGTTTTAATAAACTGTTAGTCATGCATTACAGTTTCAGTTTTGAATCATTTTGATTTACGCAAGTTTTGTGTTTCTAATTTCCTTTGTGTTTCTAATGCTTAGGCTGGAAAACTTGCTATTGACAGAGGATGGGCGATCAATGTTGGTAGGTAGCAGAAACTTCTTTTCCAAAAAGATTTGTGGGCCACGTACATATGGTTTTGATTTAAACTTACTATAGGGCCATACTACTGATGTGACAGTAAATGTGGTTATAGTTAATCAATCAACTAGCTGAACATAAAGGTAAGTGAGATTTATTGCAGTGGCAGAGCTTCTAATATCAGGTTACACAATGGAAGCTTTTTCATTGCAAATTATTTTCAACAAACTACTACTGTTTTGTATTTAAGTTGGCTAACTTTTTAGAAGCAGTCTTCTTCACCACCTTTTACTGCAAAACCTGCAAGGGTTTGCGTCTAACTTTAATTGATATGGATCTCAATTTTAGAGTTGAGAGAGCAAATCTAAAGGATTACCAGTCCTGAATTATTATAAGACCCATTCCAGGTACATTTGTTGGCAAAAATTTTACGTAATTTATGAAGTTAATCATAAGTACAAAAGAAGTAATACTTAATAAAAGTGATTTTTTTTTTGTTTGTAAAGCCACTTGGGAATGCCAGTTTGCGATATTGCTGACTGGGCACAGGTCACTTGTCCTGTTAAATCTATTGATTTAACTTCTTTCTTCGGTCTTCTTCCTGATGCAGCAAACAATTCACTGTCAATCTCATATTGGCTAGGTAGTGCTTGATTTGTTCCTGATTTGGTTTCTTTCAAAGTAAACATAAAACCATAGAAAATAGGAGCGGGGTAAGCCTTTCTGCCATTCAAGTCTGCTTGCAGTTCAGTTTGGTCATGGCTGGTCGTCTAACTCAGTACCTATTTCTTGTTTTCTCTCCATATCCTTTTGATCCCCTTTAGCCCTAAGAACTATATCTGACTCCTCCTTGTAAACATTCAATGTTTTGGCCTTAAATTCTTTCTGTGACAAAGAATACCACAGGTATTTCTCCTGTGAAGATATTTCTCCTTTGTTTTAGTCGAAAATGGCTTACCTGATTAGTCCTCAACTGTGACCTCTGCTTCTGGACTCCTCAGTCACCAGGAACATCCTTCCTGCATTTATCCTGTCTGCTCCTCTTAGAATTTTGTAGATTTCTATGAGATCCCTCTTCCTCCAATTCTTCTAAACTCTAGTGAATAATATAGTCCTAACCAATTCAGTCTCTCTTCTTCTGTCAGTCTTGCTATCTCAGGAATCAGTTTAGGAAACCTTCATTACACTCTCTCCATAAACCAGAAAATCTTTCCTCTGATGAGGAAACCAAAAATGTACAAAGTTCTCCAGGTGTAATCTCACTGAAGCCCTATACATTTGCAGCAAGACTTCCCTGCTTCAGTACTTAAATCTTCTTCTTCCGAAGGCCGACAAACCACTTAGATTTTTCACTTGATTAGAAACAAAAAAACTGCAGATGCTCGAATCCAAGGTAGACAAACAGGAGGCAGGTGAAGCAGGCAGTGAAAAATGTAGACAAATAGGAGGCTGGAAGAAGCCAGGCAGCATTAGGACTGAAGAAGGGCAATACCCAAAATATTGACTACTCCTTTCCTCCAGATGTTGCCTGGCTTGCTGTGTTCTTCAAGCCTCCTGTTTGCCTACGTTTTTCACTGCCTGCTTCACCTGCAAGTTTACTTTCAGCGACTGGAATATAAAGTCCTCCAGGTGTTGTTGCTTCACTCCCTTTTCTAATCTGTTCCCATTCAGATAATCTGCCTTCTTGTTTTTGCTACCAAACTGGATAATCTCACATTTTATCCACATTATAATCTTTCTGCCATGCATTTGCCCACTAACTCAACTTGTCCAGATCTCTCTCATCTTCCTCACAATTCACCCTCCCAGCCAGCATGGTGTCATCTGCAATCTTGGAAATATTATATATTTTTTTCCATTATCTGAATCATTAATGTATTTTCTGAATAGCTGGGGTCCAAGCACTGATCCCTGTGTTGTCCCATGAGTCACAAACTGTTACTCGGGGGGTGGGGGAAGACCCATTTATTCCTACTTTGTTTCCATCTGCCTACCACTTCTCTATCCATGTCAGTACACGACTCCCAAACCTATGAGCTTTGATTTTACATGCAAATCTCTAATGTGGGACATTATTGAAAGCTTCCTAAAAGTCCAAGGAAACAATATCTATTTGCTCCTCCTTGTCAACTCTCCTACTCGCATCCTGTCAAAATTCCAGTAGATTTGTCAAGCATAATTTCACTTTTATAAATCCATGTTGACACTGTCTATTCCTGTCACGGGTTTTATCAAGTGCTTTCCTATTAAATCTTTTATAATGGACTCTAGCATTTTCTCGAATACTGAAGTCAGGCTAACTATTCTAGAGATGTACAGCACAGAAGCAGACCCTTTGGTCCAATTCATCCATGCTGACCAGATATCCTAAATTAATCTAGTTCCATTTGCCAGTATTTGGCCCTTGTCCTTCTAAACCCTGCTATTCACGTACCCATCCAGATGCCTTTTAAATGTTGTAATTTTACCAGCCTCTGGCAGTTCATTCCATACACACATCACCCTCTCATGAAAAAGTTGCCCCTTGGGGCCCTTTTTATATCTTTCCCCTCTCACCTGAAACCTATGCCCTCTCATTTTGGACTCCCTACCCTGGGAAAGAGACCTTGACTGTCAACCTATCTATGCCCCTTGTGAATTTGTAAACCTTTAAGGTCACCCCTCAGCCTTCAACGCTTCAGGGAAAAATGCCCCAGCCAATTCAGCCTCTCCCTATAGGTCAAACCCTCCAACCCTGGCAACATCCTTGTAAATCTTTGCTGAAGCCTCTCTAATTTCACAACATCTTTATTGTAGCAGGGAGACCAGAATTGAACACAATATTCTAAAAGTGGCCTAACCAATGTGCTGTATACTACAACGTGACTCCCAACTCCTATACTCAGTGCACTGGCCAATAAAGGCAAGCATGTCAAATACCACCTTCACTATCCTGTCTACCTGTGACTCTGACCCTACTTTCAAGGAACTGTGCACCTGCACACCCAGGCCTGTTTATTTGGCAATCCTCCCCAGGGCCCTACCATTAACTGTATAAGACCTACCCTGGTTTGCCTTACCAAAATGCAACACCTTGCCATTTATCCAAATTAAACACTATCTACCATTCCTTGGCCCATTGACTCATGTAATCAAGATCCCATTTTACTCTGAGATAATCATCTTCACTGTCCACTACACCACTTATTTTGTTGTCAACTACCAACTTGTGAACCATACCTCATGTATTCACATCCAAATCATTCACTTGGTTCTTTTTCTAAAAAAAACAACTTTATAATACCACAATGCTAATAGGCTTATTCAATATTCATATCAATATTCATATTATCTAAACTTTATATCATGTAATTTTGGTTAGTAAATGTTAAATATAGACTTGTGTAGACCACTGTTGCTTACAATTACTAAATTCATATTTAAGTGCTTTACGGTAATCATGGAGTTTCTTCTGTCAGGTGGTGGCTTTCATCATTGCTCAAGTGAACAAGGAGGGGGCTTTTGTGCTTATGCTGACATAACTTTGGCAATTAAGGTGAGAATGTATGATAAATGAAAACAAAATTTTGTCTCTTATTGTCAGATGTGGTTAGAACTCTCGGTGATTCTCATTTTATGAAAAAAAAGAGAACAAACAAACTGATATTTGTTTATATGACCTGGCCTGGAAGTTACTTGCAGGTTGGTTCTTATTCAAAGAATACTGTTGATGTTTTGGCTCCAAAAATACATTATGCTCAAGTGTTAGCCAATAATAACAGGTCATCACAGAGAAACCAGTGCCAACTAATCTAACAAAGGGAATATTGAATAAAACAGAAATATGAACAAAAATTTAATCTCTTTTGTCAAAAGGATTGTGGCTGTGAAAGTTACTGAGGTTTGATTGCTCTCTGGTTATCCTCCCGTTAGCTACTTATTGAAAGTTTGGAGAACAGAATCCCACTTATAAGAATTAAGGGTACAGTCCTCAGTCTACTGGAAGCTATTTGTCTTGACCGGTATCATCTCAAATCAAGCAAAATACAATCCTGTGTGTCTCTGATGCAATGAATCATTGAAACTGTTTATGTGAACTGGCCAGTTGCATCTCTCTCATTTTTCCTTTAATTTACTCCTTAATTCTGTCTGTCTGAGATTGAGGGCTAGATTGGATTTAAATCATAGACAATTAGATTACCTTATTGTCTAACTTTGCTCGGCTAAAGCTAATGTATTGATAATAAATTGTTAATTATTTTGCTTAAGCTATAAACTTGGTATCTGTTATCAGTTATTCAAAATCTTGTTAGGATCCACTGGGGCAATTTTGAGGGTCATTGAATGCTTTATGTGTTGCAAATACAGGGATTGGCTGTCCGTCTCCATGTTGTAACAATACGATGAAACAAAATGTGAAAACTACGTCTGTAAGATCCAACGTATTACCAACATTTAGTTATAATTATCAAAAACCATTTTATGGTCATTACAAAACAAATGGTAATTTTTAAGCATTAAATTCTCAACTATAACAGCCCATGGAAAGAATATGTCATCCTCAATTGTATTATTTTAGCACTAAATTTGGTGAAATGAAACTAATACTGATTTAAATAAAATAATTGAAATACACCAATTACGTAATTCCTGTAATACTAAGCTCCTTAACTATCAAGGAAATCATTTCAAAACCTCTTGCATGTGAACCATTTAACAGTTCATATCCTTTACATCCTGTCATCTCTATCTTGCTCTAATAAACTGTTTATCACTGCAAAGCAAATTTGAGGGACGTTCTCAATCAAAAATGAGTCATCTTCCAAATGTCATCATTTTGCTACACCCTAAGATTAAATTGTGCTTACTTTCTTGCTTTACAATGTAAAAATGTTCTTTTTTAGGGTAGTAGTCTATGCATCGCTCTGACTGATGCTACCATACGTGCTTAATCCATTTGTAGTGCATTCCTGTCTTCTATGTTAATGTAAATGCTAAAATATTCAGTGAACAACTGTATGCTTCTGCTAAAACTGTGAAGTGGAGAATGAGATTCATTAATTTCCAGTCTTGCTTAAATGTGCTATCAGCACTTGTATGTGCCCATCTCTTTTTTCATTTGAGGTCTGGGTGTATAATGAGTAACTAACTATCTGAATTTTGTCAGTCTTATTGGATGATTGCCACTTTAGACAGCATTTTATCTTTTAATATCACTTTTTCATATTCCATGTATGCATTTAGTTCCGATTTATGCACAGTGTTTGCTGATTATTCCACTCTGCATGCATCAGCATTCTAGAGGTCACATGCCTGCTTTGTACATAACCGCCATTATTTTGTAAATATAGTGGTGAAATTAATGCATTTTGCTCAAGGGTATATGTGATGAGAAAGGCAACTTGGTCATTTTTTCACAGATACCCAGGCAAAAGCCCATACTCTGATTACATTACTCTTAATGTATTACTCTCATTTGGAGAGGTGATAGTGTAGCTGTATTATTACTAAACTATTAATCCAAAGAGTCAGATGATGTTCTGGGTATACAGGTTTGAAATCTGTCTTGGCAGATCGTGGAATTGGAGTTCAATAAAAATCTGGAATTCAAGGTCCAATAATGACCATGATTATCAAGAAAATGCTATCTGGTTCAGTATGCCCTTTAGGGAAGGAAATTGCCATTCTGCCCTGGTCTGGCCAATATGTGACTCCAGACCAACAGCAATGTGGTTGACTCTTAACTGCCCTCTGGGATGGACAGTAAATGCTGGCATAACCAGTGATGTCTTCAACCATAATTGACTAAAAGAAACATATTATTTTCAGTTGCAGTTTTCCTCTACAGAAGTCTATTCCTTCTGTTGATTCCATTCTGTTTTTGGGGCTTTTACAGTTTTAGTTCTGAATGTACCCAACTCTAATTGGAAGCAGTATCGCCTTTTCCTTATTGGAAGGTTTAATAAAGTATAATTGCGTTCCAGATTTATTATCTTTATTGTCCACTTAATTATTCTGTCTCGGCTTTTTTTTCCAAAGATGTACGTACGTTTTCCCAATCTTTTTGTGCAACATTTCCCTACCCACCAGGAACGACCTTCCCTCTGAGTTTTGAATTTTTGTTACATTTTACTGATAGGCCCCCATACAGGGCTGTACTAACTAGAGCCAGGTCTGACAATGGCTCCATAGTTGCCAATGACCAACTTTTAATTCCAGATTTTCAAAAATTTAATTCACATTTCAGTAATTATTTTGGGGTTCAGAAGGATGTCCAAAAAACATTAATCTGAAATTCTGGATTACTTGTTAAGTGACATTACTGCTATTAAACCACCACCTCCATATTTTAATGGTCTGCTTCACAGTGTTTATTTCTGTCCAAATATTCTATCATGTCAAATATTTTCAAACATTTTTGAATTTTCTTGTGTGGTGATGCGCATTTGCATTTCAACTTTTATGATGCACTCTTCTTTCTGCCCTAAGTTTTAATTATTTCTTTTATGTGTACTTCACACTTGTATGCATGTTTCTTTTTTTATTCATTCACAAGATGAGGGCATTGAAACAGCTCCACAGAGGCCAGTGTCCTGTCACCAAGTCACCCTTTATTTACACATGCAAATACTTGACGCAGGTTTGGCTTCCTCAGAGCCAGCTCTGAGTGAACAGAACCCATTTTCTGAAGAAGGGTCCAGACCTGAAACGTCAGCTTTCCTGCTCCTCTGATGCTGCTTCGTCTGCTGTGTTCATCCAGCTCAACACCACCTTGTTATCTCAGATTCTCCAGCATCGGCAGTTCCTACTATCTCTGATACTCCTGTTTGTACCTGTCAGCCACGGCTACCTGACTGGACCAGGTTAACAGCCCAACCAGGGAACTGCTTTTCTATGGTGTCCAACTGGCTGACGTTGGTACAATCACTACTGGCATCACTGCCTAGGCTAGCATTTATTGCCCATCCAAGAGGGTAGTGAAGAGTCAATCACGTTCCTCTATTTAAAATTCAAGCAATCACCTGTGTTAGCGAGTGTATGGAAAATGTAGAGTGTTTTTTTAATTAATTAGGGATGATGGGCTGAAAATTTAAGTAAGATACGGACTCTCGCCACCCCTGGAGAGAAAGTTGATTGTGTTGCCCGGTTACAGCGGGACAGTTATTGTCTTAGCACATAGAGGAAAAGAGTCAAATCTGTATCAGCAAACAACTAACTTTGTTAGTTTAGTTAAAACAGACATAAACTTCATACCAATTGGTTAAGAAAGGGTTAAGAGCAAGCATGCAATTCATACAAGACTAAAATCTATGCACATAATCCACTAGGTTTCTCTCTTGACATTCCCTGAACAGTCACAGAAAATAAGCGCTAATACCAGAGAATAGGAGTTCATGCTGCCAGGCAAGCCCTTGATGTAGTCAATTGCCAATTACCTCAAAGTTGCTAACATTATGTGAAGTAATTTGAAATGTGTAGTTATGCAGCTAATTTTGCTCTTCTTATGTGTCATTTTGATTGTATTTTTGGTACAGTTTCTGTTTGAGAGAGTGGAAGGAGTGTCTAAGGCTATGATCATCGATTTGGATGCACATCAGGTAATTTCCCAAAGTCTTTTTATGTGGAAATGAAAAGTATCTTTTTCTCCCTCCTGTTTATGAAGAGAAACATGTAATTTATTTGCAGATGTAATTTTATTGTAAACATTTCAAGTTTGAAATGGGCTGATTAAAGTCAAGTGAATTGTGTAGATACGCTGCCTATTCTTCAATAACAAAGTAAAGTAAATACTTTCTGATGCAGCAAGTTACCTTGTGATTTGATATCAGAAAAAGATTGTTTCTGATTCAGAGCTATTAGAATATTGATGGCCATTTTTATCCCCCATCATTGGGTTCCCCAAGTCAAAATGAGCACAAGATTTATTGTGCTTAATTATTCTGGTACTGACTGTATAGCTAGTTGGTTACTTCATTTGGGAGGCATACTGTGGTAGCTCAGGTTGACTTGGTGGAGAAATTGATGGGCTTCCAAAACCTGACACAAAGACAGTAGAAGAACCACACCTGCTTCACCCCTCATTCTAATACTAGCAGTTAGCAATAGTAAACTTTTAGCATCGAGCAGGTATCCAACCACAGTCTTGGTGAACTAACTGACAGGTTAGGTCTGCTGAGGACAGGGGTTAGATGGATTGGCAATCCAGGAGGTAGGGGAAGGATGTAAAGTATATTTGTGGATTGATGAGGGAGGGAAGTGGAATTTCCTACTTCTGTGACCACAAAAGTGAAGTAAAAATAAATTTGCACAGAGCTGTTTTGAACTGATTCCAGCTGTCATTTGAAGTATTGCTGCTGAGACTGCTCAATGCTTTGTATAATTAGCCAGAAAACTTTTCTGATGAAGGGTCTAGGCCCGAAACGTCAGCCTCTCTGCTCCTATGATGCTGCTTGGCCTGCTGTGTTCATCCAGCCCTGCACCTTGTTGTCTCGGCTTATGCTCAGCCTGTTTGTTCCTGAACATCTCAATCATGTTCTGGAACATCTTGGAGCTTTAGATTTCATATTTAAGAAACTTTATGCCTGTTTCAGGTGGAGGGGCTTCACCCCTATTTATAAGCCAGCCTGAATCTGACATTAAGTGGGCTTTGGGCAACTGCTCTCCATTTTTCAGGCACGTAACAGTTGGGCACGCTTTAATTCTCATCATTAGTCTACTGCCTACTGCTGCTGATCAGCACCTTCCCTCTGTATTTCTAGAGGAGATGCTGAGTTAAGGAACTTAGTCTAAAGAGAAAGCGAAATAATGAAGATGCTGGAGATTTTAAGTAATAGCTAAAAATGTTGGAAATGCTCAGCAGATCTGGCAGTATCAGTGAAGAGAGAAAGAATGAACATTTTGTGTTGATAATGAAAAGTCATACTTCAGTATCTGCTGAGTATATTCAACCTTTTCTTTTTTTACTGTGTGGTGAATTGTGGTCACAAGGTATTTTGCTTCTATCTCAGCCAGTAGGTTGTGGAAGGATTTGTTGAACGTTTGTTTCAGTTATTGTGATTTTAAGTCCAGTTTTTCTGTTGTTCTAACCAAACATAAATTGCAACTTTCTAGTATATCAGATATTGTTAACAAAAACAATGTTAAGCAGCAACCCATAATGGGAACATAATGCTGAACTCCTTGTACAGAAGGATAGAGTAAAATTAGATGATGATTTGACCACGCCTTGAGTATTGTATGTTGTTTTGGTCAACTATGTTGAAAAGCAGTGTTCTAGTCTTGGAGGAAATTAATGAAAAAGTTGCAACGGTCGTTCTCAGTTTCAGTTCACTGAGGATTTATCAGTGAGGTCAAACTAGAGAAGCTGATATTTTCATCCTGAAAGCAGGTGGTGATTCTAGGACAACCATTCAAGATGAGACACTGCATAGATTAGCATTGACAAGAAGAAAAGGAATGTAATGAGATGTTGAGAAATACTTTTTCCACTGAATTTTATATTGTGCATAATAAAACACCAATCCATCATCCATTTACACTCGAACAATAATATCACATTAGATTGCAATTTAATCGGTTGCTTTCATGTTTATTCAGTGCAGTGTGTTTGTTGCCTTTGGTAGGGATGTAAGACTGCTTTATTTGTGAGACTACATTGTACTAAGGGCTAATGAAAACTTTTGCAGAAAACTTTGTTCATTTTGAGGTGACCAGATATGAGGGTGAAAGAGAGATGAAAAGCTTAACATTAACAACCTACTGGATTATAAATTACAATGAACCAGTCAGCTGTGTTCAGTTGTCTACTAATTTTAGAGGGCTAGTAATATGATGCCAATAGCATTAAGTTTCATTGGGCAAGACATCCCTTTTACCTGGTACTAAGGCATTGTTTGTGCATCCCTTGCATGTGGCATAGCATAATATCATTGGGATGCACCTATAATGGTTAAGGGTCTGTGCTTGTCACATTAAGGCCTGAATAAAACATATTGAACTCTCTGAGGCTGAATGGTCTGTGCTCAGTAAAGGGCTCTCATTCATGCCCCTCTGCCCCACCTCAACGAGTTCGGCACCCGCCAAAACATGGAACTTTTCTTCCGCTGCCTCTGCCTCCATACCTCCTTCTTTGATTAAAGACTCCCAACCACCCTCCAGGGACCCCTTCTCCTCCCTCCAACCTTCTTCCCCCTCTTGGACGCCCCCTGGACCTCTTCATTTCTAACTGCCAATGAGACATCGACCACCTTGATTTCTCCACTCCCCCCTCACCCACTCCAACCTCTCCCCTTCCAAATTTGCAGTGCTCCACTCTGTCTGCACCAGTCCCCGTTTTACTATCAAACCTGTTGACAAAGGTGGGAGCGATGGTAGTCTGGAGAATGGACCTCTATGTCACAGAGGCCAAATGCCAACTCTGTGACACTATGTCCTACTTCCTCCTTGACCACAACCCCACCATGGCCCATCAAGCCACCATCTTCCATCCTGTCCATGACTCATCACTTCCAGTGACCTCTCCTCCACCGCCTCCAGCCTTCCAGTCACCCAGCCCTGCATTGCCTGGTTCTACCTGCTCCCCAAGATCCAGAAGTCCAACCACCCCGGCTGACCCATTGTCTCCGCCTGCGCCTGCCTTACCAAACTCATGTCTTCCTACCTTGACTCCATTCTCTCCCCCTTGGTCCAGGCGTTCCCCACCTACATCTGGGACACAAACCATGCCCTCCACCTCTTCGGAAACTTCCAGTTCCCCATCGCTTCATCTTTACTATGGACATTCAATCCTTCTACATGTCCATACCCCAAAAGAATGGCCTACAGGCCCTCAGTGATTTCCTCTCCATCAGACCCATCCAGTAACCCCCCACCAATAACCTCCTCCACCTCACCGAACTAGTCCTCACGCTCAGTAACTTTTTCTTCAATTCTTCACACTTTTTCTCCAAATCCAGGGGGTTGCCATGGGCACTCGGGTGGGCCCCAGCTATGCCTGTCTGTTTGTAGGTTATGTCGAACAGTCCCTCTTCAGTATATACACCGGTACTGTTTTCCCCATCTCTTCCGCCGTTTACATCACTGACTGTGTATGTGCTGCATCCTGAACCCAGGCTGAACCGGGAGCACTTCGTCGACTTCGCTAACAACTTCCACCCCACCTCAAATTCACTTGGTCTATCTCAGACACCTCCCTTCCCTTTCTTGACCTCTCCATTTCCACTTCTGGTGACAGTTTACGGACCGTCATGTACTATAAACCCACAGACTCCCATAACTACATAGACTACACCTCCTCCCATCCTGTATCCTGCAAAAGCGCCATCCTGTTTTCCTAATTTCTCTGTCTCCGTCTCATCTGCTCTGACGAGGAGACGTTCCATACCCAAACATCCTGGATGTCCGCCTATTTCAAACAACATTCTTTTTACCCCCCTCTGTCATCCAGATAGCCCTCCACTGTGCCTCCTACATTTCCCGCTCCATGACTCTTAACCACCACCCCCTCCCCACCAAACATAATAAAGATAGGGTCCCCCTTGTCCTCACTTTCTGTCCCATCAGCCTCCGCATCCAGAGTATCATCCTCAAACACTTCTGCCAATTCCAATTAGACCCCACCACCCAGCACATCTTCCACTCCTCACCCCTCTCTGCCTTCTGCAAAGACCATTCCCTTCACCACACCTTAGTTTGCGCCATAGTCCCCACCAACCACTTCAACCCGCCCCGGTACCATCCCCGGTAACCATAAAAGATGCAACACCTGCCCACACACCACCTCCCTCACCTCCATCCAGGGCCCTAAACAATCCTAAGCAGAGCTTCACCCACATCTCCTCCAACCTAGTCTATTGCATTCGGTGTTCCTGACGTGATCTTGTCTACGTCAGTGAGACCAAACATAGACTAGGTGACCATTTCACTGAGCATCTTCGGCTGGCCTGTAACAGCCAACCTAACCTCCCAGTCACCATCCATTTCAACTCCCCGCCCCGCTCCCCCTCCAACATGTCCGTCCTCCAGTGTCGGAGTGACTTGGAATGCAAATTTGAAGAACACCCACCTTATCTTCCGCCTGGGCACCCTACAGTCCAAAAGACTCAACATTTGAGTTCTCCAATTTCAAATAACCTTCCCACCCATCCCCCCCAGCTCCTTTTCCGGCCCCACTTCCTCCCTTCCATTCCACCTTCTGACCCTCCCTTCCAGCCACCAACTGGATTCATCCCTCCCATCAACCAGCCAGGTCGTACCTACTACCAGTGTCCACCTATCACCACTGTTCCGCTACCACCCCTCCCCCATCCAGTTCTGAAGAACGCTAATACCTGAAATGTTGACTGCTCCTTTCCTCCAGATGCTGCCTGGCTTGCTGTGTTCTTCCAGCCTCCTGTTTGATTCCAGCATCTGCAGTTTTTTTTATTTCTAGTATTGATACCTTTATCCCTTTTGCAGTAATCCTCAACTGAGTAATGAGTAATTGGTCCACCTCCGGCTCCTGCGATCCTAGCATAACAGATGCCAATCTTCAATCCATTCTATTCACTTCTTAAAATATCAAGGAAATATCTAAGTGTACTGGAAACGGCAGACATTA